CCTGACCTCCACTAACTAGTGACCCGCCTGACCTCCACTAACTAGTGACCCGCTGACCTCCACTAACTAGTGAGCCACCTGACCTCCACTAACTAGTGACCCGCTGACCTCCACTAACTAGTGAGCCACCTGACCTCCACTAACTAGTGACCCGCTGACCTCCACTAACTAGTGACCCGCTGACCTCCACTAACTAGTGACCCACCTGATTTCCACTAACTAGTGACCCACCTGACAAATTCAGATTCTACAGAAGACAATAGAGTCATTATTCAGATCAATTCAGTTCAATGTTGTATCAATTGTGAAACACATCAAATGAGTCATTTTATGTGAAAAGTAACACTCATGATATATTTACTTTGGTCAGAAATTCAAAAACATTTTATACATGAAACAATCACGATTAATGTGTATTTTGTTCATTTTATTCAGTTCTAATTGATGAACTTTGAAACATTGATAATGTTTTTGAACTGAACTGAACTGAATCTGAATCAATCTGAATAATGACTCTGTTATGTTGTTAAAGCTTAAATTTGTTTCATAATTGATGAATTTTACAACTTTTTACAAATTTCCCTGTTCATTACTGCAAAGTTGCTTTGAAATAAACTATTCTATAAAGCGCTGTAGAAATAAAGGTTAATTATGAAATTATTTCAAATTTCATCTGTAAAGCAGCTCTACTGAAGACAAAAGGCATTATTTAGATCAATGCTGGTTCAGTTCAGTTCAAAAACAGTGTCATTGTTGCAAAGTTTGTCAATTATTAAACAATTTCAAGTCATTCTGTATATGAAACACTCATTATATATTTACTTTGGCCATTAATTAAAAAAACATATAAAAAAATATGAAATGGTATGATTTATACAGTATATGAAATAACCGTGTTAATTTGTATAATCCACAAATGTGTACCCAGACGTGAGCTAAACCTTACAAAATCTCAGAAAAACGTCCTTTGGGGGATTTACTTATTTGTGTGTGTGTGTGTGCGCATGTGTGCGTGTGTGTGTGTGTGTGTGTGTGTGTGCGCGTGTGTGTGAGTGAGTGTGTGAGTGAGAGTGTGTGTGAGTGAGTGAGTGTGTGTGTGTGTCTGTGTGTGCGTGTGTGTGTGTGTGTGTGTGTGTGTGAGTGAGTGTGTGTGTGTGTGTGTGTGTGAGTGTGTGTCAGTGGTCTCTCTGTCTCTGTGTATCGTGTCCCAGAATGCACTGGGTTCTTCCTCACTCATTATTAGTGTTGTCGTTTCTGGGAGAAGTGCTTGTTTTCCAGCAGCAGGTATCGGAGCTCAAATATCAGTCTGTCATTTTCTGTGAGGATTCTGAATGATTTCTGCTGCTCTGACATTTCTGTTGATCGATGCACAAGAATCAATGACTCGTTAGTCGTGTTTGAGTCCAGAAACCTCAGCGTCCTGCTAATGACTCGAGACCTTCACTCGAATCATCATCAGCATCTCGTTTATACTCTAAACTAACACTTGTATGAAACAAGCTCACAAATCACAATTCAAAATCAGGAGAAATGCCAATAAATGGACATTTAAGGAACAGTTCAACCAGGTCAGGTCATTAGAGATGCAGATGAGTTTGTTTCTTCATCAGGTTTGTAGAAATGTAGCACTGCATCAGTGTCTCAGCAATGGATGCTCTGCAGTGAATGGGTGCCGTCAGAATGAGAGTCCAAACAGCTGATAAAAACATCACAATAATCCACAGCACTCCAGTCCATCAGTTAACATCTGGAGAAGACAAAAGATGAAACACATCCAGCATTAAGACTCGGTGTATTTTAGTTAAAAGTGTCTTAATGCTGGATGTGTTTCAGCTTGTGTCTTCTCCAGATGTTAACTGATGGACTGGAGAGCTGTGGATTATTGTGATGTTTTTATCAGCTGTTTGGACTCTCATTCTGACGGCACCCATTCACTGCAGAGCATCCATTGCTGAGACACTGATGCAATGCTACATTTCTACAAATCTGTTCCCCAAACACAAACAACTATTCCTTTTAGGGTTTTTGGGCTGGAAACACTCTCTACATGTGAATGTAAACACAGGCCGTATTTGTGTTCATATCTCAGTGTTGCTGTTCAGGAGCTGGTTTCTCTGTCGTGAGGAACAGAAACCCTGCTGTGATCGTTAGTTAGACTGGTGACATTTATAGCATCTAGATGAACAACAACACATTCGGTGTAATAAGACATTTGAAGAAAACGCCATCTCAAGTTTCGTCTTCTATTTATTTCATGAATATTAATGAATGATGGCTTGACAGAGTTTTGCTCCCAGACCAGCAAAGATGATGATTGAGGAATCACGGTTTACTCTCAAGTCTGGATGTGTGAGTCCTGCGTTTATTACTCGTCTCAGTCGCTCTCAGACAGCAGGTGCAGGGCTAGAGAATCGAGAGAAACGCTGGAATCCCCTCCGGCCAGAGCTGTCTGGGTTGTTATCGGTCCGCATGATGCTGGATCTTTGGCTCAGGGCCGTTAGGAAGCGTCTCTAGAGGGAGAGACGGCTAAAGAAGAGCATTCTGGGAGGAAACGATGCTTCAGGACATGAACACTGCACCGTTTGAGCTGATCATTCAGAGGTCACAGACATGCAACTAGACGAGCAACCGCTGTGTGTGTGTGTGTGCAGGAGTGCTCAGATTATGCATGCACACACACACACACACACACACACATACACGCCTCAGGAGATGCTTGCTGACCTGTGTGTGTGTGTGTTTATGGTGCTGATGGCCAGAATAAACAATCAGATGCATGTGTATAATCTAGTGTGTGTGTGTGTGTGTGTGTGTGTGTGCAGAGCCCGGAGTAGCGCGAGCACTGACGTTCCTCCAGAGGCCTCAGAAGGTCACGGCTCTACAGGGCAGAGATGCGGTTCTAGAATGTTCCGCCTCCGGCTATCCCACCCCATCCTTCTACTGGATGAGAGGAGACGAGCTGATCCAGAGCAGGTGAGGAGAAACACATCACTGACACACCAGATCAGCACTAACATCATCATACACTGCTGCTGAATTACATTATATCTACATGGCTGCTTAACACTTTGGGGTCGGTAAGACTTTTTTAATGTTTTAAGAGTCAGAAAAGTCTCTTCTGCTCACCAAAGACTGCATTTATTTAATGAAAAATACATTGAAAACAGTGAAATATTATTATATTTGAAAATAACTGTTTTCTATGTGAATATGTTGTAAAATGTTATTTAATTATTTGGTCAAAGCTGATTTTTAGTCTCCAGTCTAACCTTTACAAGTCTTTACTGTCTAATAGTTTAATAAATAAAAGTATTAATTTCTTCAAACATCCTTAACATATGAACAATTTTCACTGTTGAAAGAGAATGTATATATGGCAATATCACTCTTGATTTGGGGAGATATATGTCATATATTAAATTTCCGTATGGACCTTTTGAATGGTTCTGTCGTGTATTTGATCACTAAACTCTAACATCAGCTGATCTGTATGTTAATAATCTTCTGTTATCGTCAGACGAGAGCAGCGACTCTATTTTCTCTTCATCTCTGCTGCGTCTGTCGAGTCTGATGGTGTTTCTGTGTCTGCTTCTCCGTCAGATCAAAGAAGTACTCTCTCCTGAGCGCCAGCAACCTTCTGATCAGCAGCGTCACAGACGACGACTCGGGAGCATACACCTGCGTTGCTCACAACAAACAGCAGAACATCTCCGCGCCCTGCGAGCTCTCCGTGCTCGGTGAGTTTATTCCTCGTTAATAACCCTCAGATCCGCAGAAGACACACACTCACTGCTGTAAAACAGATATATGTGACCCTGGAACACAAAACCAGTCTTAAGTGTCAATTTTGTGAAATTGAGATGTATACATCATCTGAAAGCTGAATAAATAATCTTTCCATTGATGTATGGTTTGTTAGGATAGTACAATATTTGAAAATCTGGAATCTGAGGGTGCAAAAAAATCTAAATATTGAGAAAATCATCTTTAAAGTTGTTCAAATGAAGTTCTTAGCAATGCATATTACTAATCAAACATTAAGTTTTGATATATTTACGGTAGGAAGTTTACAAAATATCTTCATGGAACATGATCTTTACTTAATATCCTAATGATTTGAGAGTTCCTCTGAAGCCCTCCACCTCCCCAGCTCCATCTGTATAGATCTGCTACGGGTTATTATATATGCTATTTGTGCAGCAGCAGCATGTCTTAAATACTCACAGAACTGTATTGCAGCAGCAGCAATAATCTACAAATTCTTTCTTTCTTTCTCATGTTTTGTTTGTTTGTTGAGATAATAGTTACATTTTTGCGCATAATTAATTGAAATGTTGTTGTGAGTTTGCCATGAATATACCCTTTGATGCTGATATGGTGTTATGGTTACGTTTATATTTGTTTATTTACCAGACACTTTTATCCAAAGTGACTCGCAAGTGAGGAATACAGCAAGCGATTCATCATAAAGAGGCAAATAAACACGAAGTGCTCATAATGCAGAGTTTCAGACATTGTTCAGAATAGTACTAAGCCTAAATAAATATATGAGGAATAAATGAATGAATTAATCCAGTCAGGTCGAGTCTCTTTAGCTCCAGTCCGTGTGGATGAACACGTTAATATTCATGTGTTGGTCTGAATGCAGGAGTTTGAGTTTGTGTGGGATTAAAGAGATTTCCAAGAAACTTCTGGAGAACCTTTGGTGAGAAACTCGCTCGTTTATTGATCTGATTCTCATTTCCATGAGTTTCATCTTCCTTTGTGAGATTCTCCGTTTGATCATTAGCTCTTTGAAATGTTTTTATTTTGCCCTCCATGTAAATTCTCTCTGTTCATAATCAGCTCTTATTACGTGAGATTTTCACAGCTTTCTGTGCTTTTGTAGCTGTTTAGCTCATCAAAGCAGAGGTTCAGATTCTGTGTTCTGATTGGACGCTGGTAAACACCTGTGATACATTATTCAACAGTTAGTTCTGTTCCTCAGATCTGATTGGCTGTTCATAAATCAGCTCAGGTTTCAGTGTTTGTGTTCAGTTTCTGATTTATTAATTGATTGATGCACAAAGTGTTAGTAAACCCCTCCAGCTTGTGTGTTAGTTACCAGTGCTTTAACCCCCTAACCAGACCAACTAAACCCCATCAGCACTGTTTCCGTCAGCTCTCTCTCATGCGGTGGATTTGACTCATCTCAGGTGTTCATGTTGAACAGAGAGTTTCTGGCCTTTAATCCAATTATAGAAGCACTGCAGGATATTTGACATCCAGTGGCGGCTGTATGATTATTATTCCAGCCTGTAAATCAAATAAAGCAGGCGTGTGAGAGGAGAGCAACAGTGCTCTGGAGACTCCTTCAGCAGAAATAAAGATGAATGTGGAGGAGAGCAGCTCAGATGGTCTGCTTTAGACACACACGTGCATTCAGTGAGTTTTTATGTATGTGGGTCAAAGAAGAAAAGGGTTTAAGCAGAAAAACAATAAGTGTAATACTGCTTTAAATTGTTGTTGTTCCCCCCAAAAAAAATTTAAAAGTTTTCTGTTTAATGTAATTGTATTTTTGTTTTGTTTTTCCGAGCAAAAAATAAATATGATACATTTTCCTCTGATTTACAGAAGAGACGCACTATAATGTCATTCAGTGTAACAATCTCGTCAGGCATATTTACAACAAAAATCAATTTATGACGTATTAAAAGACTAATTACTTTCACCCCAAATACTAATTAGCTGTAATTTTACATTTTTTAAATGTGCCACTATCCTAGGTTTCGCCCATTTGTCAGTAAGAATTTTTACTAATTTAAAACCCAAATAAAATGTAATATGCACACTTATTCTTTTATATATATTTTAATATGTGCAGGTCAGAATAAGCATGGTGTTATTGTGTGACAATGTAACATTATTTCAACCAAATTTTGACTTTTTTTTTGTTCTCCAAAAACAATTTTAAAACCTTAAAAGTCGACACTTTACTTACATTTAATGTGCTTTCTATGGACATAAAATCACTTTTGTACATTTCTTTTGATGCGGACATCTTAACGTCTTTGACCCATATATGCATGCATTTATTTTTGTAGTTAGTAGTTTTCGTACTTCAGCTTAAACTTATTTTCAGTTAGTCGCCAAGGCAAAAATTCTACTTTTTTTTCACTCAATATTTTATTTTATTTCAGCTTTATTTAAATTATCAAACTCAATTGTAGTTTTAGTTAACGATAGCAACACGGCCTGTCACAGAGAAGACGATGAACTCCAAACACAACCGAAACGTTATTAAAACAACTAGCAATTAAATTGATACAGTTTTAACAATTACATTCATATCAGTTTAAATCCTCTTTGGATGGTTACTTTGAATAAAACAATCTGAATAGTATTTTAAAATAACATATTGTTTAGTTGGGTAACTTTATTTTAAGGTGTCCTTGTTACACGTTACATGTACTTACTATTATAATAACAATAAATTATGCATAAGTACATGCAAGTAACCCTGAACCAAACCCTAATCCTAACCATAACCATACAATAAGTGCATGTAGTTAATTAATATTACTCAGTACTTAAATGTGTAATTACACTGTAACAAGGACACCTTAAAATAAAGTGTAACCTTTAGTTGTCATACATTATGCATACATATACATATCATAGAGGCATATAATTTAATGTACTGTTTTTACATTTTTTATTATTTTCATATTCAGTGATTTTTTTTCCCTCTATGCAAAAAGTTAATAAGTAATAATAAATGTATTAGTTTTTTAAAAAGGTAATGAATAATAATTTTAAAAATCATGTTGTGCTTTAAATTTTGCAACCTTATGTGAATGCTGAAGAAACCTTCCTATATACGTTTGTATTTCATTTCATTCAAATATTTCATTTCATTATTTATAATAAGCGCTCTCGAACCGAGAGCTTTCTGTGTGCGTGAGAGAACAGATGGAGTGTAGGAAACAGAAACGTACAGCAATTATTTCACACGACACCTGCGAATCCTTTAATTAAGCCTAAGTGTGGTGGTCAGAAACTTTCCAGCACTTTTAATTGGCTCCTCCGCCGCGCTTGAAGTGGAATATTCTGTGCATATGCTTTGGTGTTTTAGAGTTTTCCAGCTGATCTCCTGAGATGACGTTCAGTGAGACACTCAATACAAATATCAGCGTTTATTGAGTGCAATGATGCGTTAAAGGCACATTTCGTTAGACGTCATCTCTTCTCGTTATGTAATCAGATGCACTGAATGCACTGATTATTAGAATTTATTAGAAAATGTTTAAATCTGGTTTTTGATTAAAATGCATGAGTGTGATGAGTGCTTGCTGGCGGAGATAATTTTTTAATCATGAGTTTGTCGCTGCTTTTGCACACATATAGGTTTGCATGGATAGAAAGCTGAGAGAGGATGAGAAACGAGGATTCCTGAATGCACAGCTTTCATTTAACGAGCATTTATTGTTTTCAGCGTCTGTGATCATGTGAATCAAACCC